GGGGAATTAGCAGTTGGAGGCGGTGCAGGAGATAGATTTTGTTGCTTGGCATGTGGCACAGCCGGGAAAGCTCCACTACTCAAGGTTGCTGGAAGAGAAACAATTGGTTTGGTAGGACCAACACTGACAGGTGCAGCTGCAGCTGCGAGGTTACTAGATTGATCAAGCAACCTGCGACGTACGGAATTGATGAGGGTTGTTATAGTTTGGGCAACCACAGGCTCATGAAAATCTACATGAATCAAGGCATGTTCATTGGTCATAAATATTGCAATGGCTAAACAGGTCAAAATTCATAAAACAATATTCACTGACCATGTTGATTGTGATAGAAATTCACTTGACAAAGATCAAGAGCTTTATCCAGCTTCAACCTTCAAAGAAGCAAACCCATTCAGTCATCAGAACATAATAAAAAGCATAATATATATGCCAACATAGTGAAAATAAGATGAGGCAGAAGTTATCTACGCACAGTGGCAGCACCAAAGCATTGAAGTATTTCACAAGTTCTCCTTTAATTTGAATAACTCTAGAAACAGCCTTGTTTAACAGTATAAAATTTCTCTGCCATACACTGTTCATGCCATGCATTTAAAGTTAGAAAAACAGAGTTCATAATTATACATAAACTGAATATCTGAACTAACCTATAAGACATAGGTTCTAATTAATTTAGGACGTGATTATAAGAAAGCACCAATATTCTTCATCGTTCATATATTCTGCGTGACTGATCTATGACAACTAAATAAAGGCACCCTACTTTTTCAAGTTAAACAGTGGGCATTTTATGCCAGTGGGAAGATGTTATCAGAATGCAGGATAGAGCTAACACCATCAAGAATTTATGTGACATTCCAATTTACAAAACAACAATATTTGCAGAGAGAAAATTTGTCATACTCAGTGGATAACCTCAAGATTTAAGTGGCAAAAGAAAAACAAGATGGAAATAAAAATTAGTTAATTATAAGAAATATGAGAGCTATGCTTACCCATTTCCAAATTTTCTATGCAAGCCACCAAAAACAGATGTTATAGATGAAGTACACTTGTCGACAAATAACCATTTAGAGGGTAAATTGGACTTTTCAACATCCTGACAAACATTGACTTCAATTTTATTGCCGCAAAGCAACCTGCAGCAAAATGGTAGTTTCTTCTAAGTAACCAAAAATCTATCAAAGCATGCTAATTAAATATATAGTTAACTTACAAGTGTTTCAGTTCTGATAAGCTGCTAACTTCCACTGGAATAGTTCCAGTAAAGTTATTGCTCCTCAAATCCAATAACTCCAGTTTGGCTAAAGCTCCAAGTCCCTTGGGAACGGTTCCAGAGAAATTGTTCTTACACAACACACTAATTTGAAGAAGTGAAGGAAGATTACCATAAAGTCATTGGAGAAAGGTAATTGGATAAAACAACTGCATGATAGTAATATGTTTTGATAGCAGATGAACAACTAAACTAGTACAACAAAGACTAATTCTAGCGGAAAATGTCAATTCTCCATCTTACATGGCATTCTAACTTTCATCCGAACATTTATTTTGTTGAAGAACACCTAAAGAGAAACATGTTGAACAACACTTACAGAGATTTTAAGTGACTAAGCTTCCCAAGCTCTGGGGCCAATGTCCCTTCCAAAGATAAGGAGTTTAAGTCTCTACAAAAAATAAGAAGAAGAAATATCCTGTAAGCATTTAGTAAGTGCTATATAAATCTTGAAAGAAGAATTGTGTTGGACAGGATAAGTATTTGTCTTTCCGTAAAGTAGCGGTTGTACTTTGGCGGACTGTGTCTGAGGAAAGGTAAAGAGAAACTTACAGAATTTGAACTTTACTGTCAATGCAATGAACACCCAACCATTTGCAAGGGTCACCGTCATTTGGATTCCAATTCACCAAAGCTCCATAAGGATCACATGTTATTCTATCTCGAAACTCCAACAAGGCTAACCCTGCATTTTCATTGAGATTGTTCATCTAGGTACAACAAATGGCTTACAAATCAAAACAGAAGAAGAAGAAGAAGAAAGAAAGAAAAATTATTGGAATCACCTTCGCTGTTCAGCGACCAACACACTCGAATTTCCCACAAAGAAATCAAGGCAACATATATTTTGAACCATAATCCAAACTGGTTCCATCCAACCCCCATTGCTTTATGAAGCCAATGCCAGAGTGATTAAAATACAAAAATTGCCAGGTTTTATGTTTTCTGTGCAGAAAAACAAACCCTTAATCTTCAATATACTCAGCTTCGCAACACGCAGAAAAACTTTCGCTAGCTGACAAATGAAGATGAAAAGCAATGGAATGAAAGCACTGGGTTCCGAACATCGAATCAGGGTCTCTCATTTTTTGTAATTTAATCTCTCGTCTACAACCTCTGGCTCAACATAGCCATAAACAAGCTCAGTATCTTCCCTTCAATAATCCTCAGCAATAATGGTTGGATTGAACCCTGAAAGGGAAAAAAAAAATAATGAATGCTAGGAAACAAAAGGGGGAGGAATAACCTAACATGCAAGCAAGCTTGCTTCTCAGGCATTTAAAAAAGGAGAGGAAAAAAAAAAGGAATAAAGAACCAAATGCACTAAAGTAGCAATTCACAGAAAGAGAGAGAGAATGTACCTTGCAGAAGGGAGAAAATGAAAGAGTGAGCAGGAAAATGAATGGCCTTCAACAATGTTTCATGACGCAGAGGAAGAAAACGAACTGCAAGCTGGGCGTGGGAGGGGGGGGGGGATTGGTGGGGGTTAATTGTGGAGAATAAGACTTTTGCCAGGAAAAAAGGCAGCAAAATTTTTTGGGAAAATATATATTATAAATTATATCTTTTTTTTATAAAAAAATTCTTTTGTATTGCTGCCCTTTTCTCAGGATGATCTCAGAGGATGATTCTCTCTTCAACCATCTTCCTCCGCGAGCACTTTCTCTCTCTATTTTTGCAAGCACAATTCCTTCTCTTTCAAACAAACAGGTCGTTCTTTCGTTTCTTTGTTATTTTTCTCTCTCTTTTGGATTCAGATTCTCTCTCTCCCCTCTCTGGTTGGTTCTCTCTCCTTGATCCACCCCCACCTGCTACACCCCGACCCAACAAGAAGAAGCAGTGCGAATCTCAATCAATCTTGCGTTCTCAACTTTTTTCCCCTTTTGCCTCTTTCTCACACTCTTTTTCTAAATTATTTCTTTTGCTAAATTTTCTATCACACAGAGACTTCGTGAGTCGCACCATTGAATCAGAATATAGATAAATGCAATCTATCGGGGCCCACATTTCCCGCGCGCGCCTTCTCTCCGGCGGTTTGGGTTCCCTCTGTGCCTGACGTGCTTCCCTCTTTGGATTTCGCTGCGTAATCTCCAAAGATAGAGACATCCACGTCGTTGGAGGCTGGCAATCAGTTTGGCACAGGGGAGTGCCCAGCTAGATTCTGTAACACGTGGTATTGATGGGATGTTATTACCGTTTTCTTTTTATCTTTTTTATATTGGATTAATATAATACTACCTCCTGTCCTTAATGTAAGATTCTATTTGACTTTTATTTTTACTCTAAATATAAGATCCCAATACACTTTATCTCTCATATTTACTCAATTTTTTTCAAGATAATCCTTCTAATAATTATAGTTCTAATTAATATACTTGATTAGTAAGGATATTTTAGGAAAGACAACATTTATTTAGGACAAATAACTAACTCAACTTACTTCCTTAATCTCTTTAATTAGTCAACTGACTCTTAGAATTAGGACCGGAAGTAGTATCATATGTTGGCAAAAAGAAAAAAGGAATAATATAATATCATAACATATATTGTTTATAAGAATGACAGTTTAGTTTTTCGTTTTCGACAGAGTTACCCCCTTTTGCTCCTTAATACTACTATATGGTGCTTCTAACTAATTTTAACCAAATTATCAGTTAAGTCCTTAATTTCGTTGTAAGTTGATGAATTTTTCAAACTTTGCCCCTCTTTAAAGGATGTGACTAGATTTTTCTTATTTTAACCCTCAATTAATAACAACGGTTGAATGAGAAAAAAATAATCAATGAGACTGTTATTGACTTATATTTGAAACAAAAAATTACTTTTACAAGATGCCTCATAATATTTATTAAAAAAAAAAAGATGCCTTAAAATAGGAACTAGAAAGAGTAATGTGCAAATATCTTCCCACCGTCAAGATACCTTGGGTGCAAAAGTTCACATGAAGATTTTATAAAATCCACCCACAAGCATGTCTTGTTTTGTCATGTTGCAGAGCCACTTCTCATTAATTTTTATTTTAAGAAAATCTATAAAAAAAGATAATAACAATGTGTTCAAGTAAATAATATATCCAATCCCCGATCCAGTAGCTTGATAAAGAACTGAAAATACATTCATTGGTGTTGAACATCCTTTTAAAAACTTTATTTTGGTCCCTGACGTGTCATCCACTTTTATATATTACCTTATATATATATATATTTTCTAAAATACCCTTATTTAATACTCTTCCGGTCCTTAATATAAAACCCATTTAACTAATTTGATTAGATTAAAAAAGTTAGGTAGGTTAGTTAATTATAAGAAATATGACACGTTTTTTCTATAATACCATAATTATCTTTCTTAATACCCCATCTTCTTCTTCTACTTGATTATGGTTGAGGGAGTATTACTTGATTATGATTGAGGGAGTATCCATAAGGGTAGTCTAGAGAAAATTGATAAAAATGAGAAATGAGTCTTATATTTAGGACCAAAACCAACTCAACAATTAAGCCCTATATTAAAACCCGAAGGAGTACTTATATTTTACTCAATGGAAACTGATAGACATAGTTAATTAAATGTCACAATAATTCGGAAAAAATACCACACAAATTTTTTATGTATTAATTACAAATAACTAATTTTATTATTTTCCGTAATTTTTATGAATTAGGTGACAAGATCCTATACTGGGGAGACATTGTGGTAAAAAAAAAAAAAAAAAAACTAATTTAGTGAACCATAGTTATGTATTGTCATGGTCCGGAGAATAAGCTTATATATAGAGGCTGCAGAAACAAGAGTCACAGAATTGGCTTTTGTCCTTTAAACGGGGCTCTATTATCATCAAAGCTCCCAAAAACAACGATGCCTGAGCATTTTTTTGTTGTTGCTGATTCTGATATTTAATTATACACACACACTAATTGTGAAATGATTGATTATAATGATCTCAAGTAGAATTTTCTCACTCATCATAATAATGCAACCCATCTGCCAAACCAAATCTTTAAAAGCTGCCTTAGTTTTGCATCAAGCTTTGATCTACGGATGACATGCACAATGCCACAATCCATCTTTCACCCTCCTTGTAACTCAAATTCAACCTCGGAAGCTTGAAGAGTAAAGCTTGAAGCAAAAGCATGTAACTCAACTGCATTCCTACATATAGATGAGTATGAATTAGACCTTCAAAAGAGTATCAACTATCAAATGAGGGAGTCACAAAGTTAGATGTCAGAAATAAATGAGCCATGTCAATCTGTCAGTATATATATTCTGCAATGTGTCAAAGGTAAATTGCCTGGCATTTTCAAGCAACTCATCTCTCAAATGCAACAAGTACCATATAATTAAAAACTCAAGGTAATACTTAAATATCAAAAACACCAGTAAATTGAAACTCAGCAAATAGAGAACAAGTTATAGTCGTTGTGATGCATTTTTTATGTCAGAGAGATATCCAGAGGCATATAGCCATATACTTTCCCAAACGCAGCAAAATCATATCAGGAGGTGCAATAAAACAGCTGTCCTGTGTGGTATCATTACCATGAGGTCTACACATGTACAAAACAGAGTCTCTACAAAACTCTCATCCAACAAACAAAAAAGCAAGTTTTACTACGCTTCTGCCCCGTAAATTTACTCCAAAAAACCAGAACACGAGAGAGTGCAAATATACACACATCGACTATTGATATGACTTGTTCAATATACATCAGCAAAACATATATGTGATTGTTTCACATATACATTACATATCTGTTCAATAACAGAATCAGTTCAATAAGCCCTTTCAAAACATCTAGTAAGGAAAGGAATACAAACACCAACCTGTACAAGCTAGCTTGACATTAGCAGCTTGCCTTTCATGCCCCATAAGGCCTTCATCATTGCTATCTCAGTATAAAGGCGATCTTTTCAGCATCCAAGTCAGCTTCACTTCATATGCCATTTAATTGCACTATTCATTTGTAGCTACCCAAAGGCCTCGCTATATAGTTGTTGCACTGCATCCTCCTCCCTGAAAGTCTTTACAAACTTGTCTTAATGGCCACTTTTCTCCTTTCCCTGGACCCAAGAAGTCGTTTCACATGCATATTGTCCCTGGAAACTTAAGGGTTTGCCATTGAAGCATCAAGGTAGCCTGGCATTTCCAAATCCATGAAGTCTTTGGGGCCAGCCCCTTGATTCTAATCAGTCTTCAATGAAGTCACAGGCAGATGGGCTTTTCCCCATCAATACAAAGTGATTCAAAGCGAGAAAAGCCCTACTCCTATCCTTTTTGACTAAGCAACCGAACAAAACAATCAAAATTTGAGGTAGTTGTTTTATTAAATAAGTTCTGGACAAAAATCTGTATATTAAGTAAATATAAATCACGGATGAAATTTTGTATCGCTGACAAAACTGACACTTCAGAAACATTCAAGCAGGGTGAAAAAGAAATGAATCCTTAACTGTGGACTCGAGAGTAGCATTCTTCATAGAAATTCCGTGGACAAAAGAAGAACAACCATTAGCTGTTCTCCAGCATCCTACTTTCCCATTATTTTGAGAACATCTTCAACCTTCCTTTCTGGAAGTTTCTCCAATTGATCCAATGCACATTTCCATGCCTCCATGCTTTTATTTTTCAATTTAGAGCCCATAGCTTTCAAAGCCAAAGGAAGGCCTTGTGCATAACTCACCAGATGGTTGGAGATTTCTTCATAATCCGCTGGGGGTTTGTCCAAGTGGAAGGCATATCGAGAGAAAAGCTCAAGGGAGTCATTGTTATTTAGCTCCTTCATTCCATATTCATCAATATGACCAGCAATCAGTAATTGCTTATTTCTTGTTGTCACGATCACTTTACTGCCATTTCCACACCAATCACGACCTCCCGCAAGTTGTTCTAATTGTTCCATCTCATCTATGTCATCAAGAACAAGAAGAACCCTTCCATGGCATAGCCTCTGCTTTATCTTAGAGATCCCTTCTTCAACACTTCTTAACTTGAACTTTTTCTTCTCATCAAGAATATCTGATAGAAGCGTCTTTTGAAGACGTACCATGCCTTTGCTTCCTTTAGGAGCTGTTCTTATGTCAGTAAGAAAACAAGCCTCTTCAAATTGGGGGACAACTGAATTATATGCAGCTTTAGCAAGTGTAGTTTTGCCAACTCCTTCAGTTCCATGAATTCCTAAAATAGACACGGCATCAAGAAGTGAAGTGACATCTTTTATGCAAGCGTCGAGTCCAACTATGTGCTCCCCAATATGTAAGCGTTTAGGCGGTAACTTGGAAAATGCCTCTTCAACAATCTTCTCAACAAAGTCATTTTCAGATCTACATATGAATGCATTAACACTTCTTTATCACCATGAAGTTTAAAGGGTAAATTAAGCCATTTCTTTTTCAATATTTCATCAAAATAATATACAAAATAAAATGTAGTTAGCAAAGATGAAAACAAAAGCTGAGAGTTAAAAATATAAAGCTTAGTTTGTAGTCAGCGAGTCATATTAATAGCTGGTAAACACACAAGAGCTTCAGCGTACTCACAATTATACTTTAGTCTTCATAATTCATACAACAGATTCAACTAATTTAGTCACGTTAACGAGTTGATTCTCTAACACGATATCTTAATTTGGTTTTCTAAAGTTTAATCATCTTGTATTAGTCCTCTATCTAATATTTAATCTTCTATATCTTCACCCTTCAAGTCATGACTCATTAGCAAAAGTGCCAAAATACGCAATATTTTTGGAAAATTAAAATCAAACATTCAAATTTGAAAAAGTTTAATTCACATAATACACAATATTTTTGGAAATTAAAATCTTCCATATCTTTAAGAATCATAACAACAATTTACTCGATTTTTATTAGAATTATGAAATTAAATTGCTCTTCATTTTATCCCAATATTCCTTGCCAAAGATAATATGCAGAAAATTCAATTGGGGGAAAAGAACTCCATACATTAAATCATCTCATGACATATGATTAATATTAATAACATAATTATTTTAAGTAATTCTATTATTAAAAAAGTTATTGTTATCATATCCTAATAAAAAATATATAAATATCAACATATTTTCAACACATAAAGAGTGGGTCAGATTCTACGGGATCAAACCTCTGGGACTGATCAAAATGCCATCCGGACAAACCGGCGGCTTCGTTCAACGCCGACTTCCATTTCTGAACCTGTTCGTCTCCGAAGCTCTGTTGATGAGCAACCATGGCTTCTTCATACTTATCTTTCTGATGCCGAACAATCGTCGGTTCTATTTTGTAGAAGATCGGAAAAACCACAAGCTTCTTTTTCCTACTGCACTTCATAATCTTGACGAGCTCATCAAGGCACTCAGCGGAAGAAGCATAATCCTCAGAGAACACAAGAATAGAAACCTTTGATTTTTCAATCGCACTAAGAGGATCAGGTGATGCAAAAACTTGTTTGCTTTTCCTCTTTCTTTTCCTTTCTCTCAGTTTATTGGGGCCGACGAAGATTTTGTCGATTCCCTTGTTGTGCAAAGCATCGCAGAGAATGGTAGTGAATGTTGATTCGCTTGTGGAATTCAGGAAAACATCGTAATGATGGGAAGTTGATTCGCTGGAGGATGATCCAGAAGATGATGATGGCTCTTGATTTGGAGTGATCATAACTAAGAGATAGAGGTATTGGATTCCGAGGAATGTGATCTGCTCAAAACATGGAGCACATATGACCTTCGCTGCCCGAGTTCTGAGCGGAACATTGGTAAAGGCGTTACCAAACCAAAATTTCGTGGAAGGTGCCCTTCGGGACGACTTTCTCTGCACCTTCGCAAGCCAATATTTGGTACACGGCGAGGGTTACCCTATGCGTGTGTGAGTCGTATACAATAAAAAAGAGGCGGAAATAGGAAAAAAAAAAAAAAAAAAAGCTAACATGCGCCCATCTCCCAAACTAATTAGAACGATGTAGCTATATCCTAAACTAACAGAAAAGTTAAGTTTAACCGTTATTTTATTGACTCAACTGAAGGTTGACTGAAAAATTCTATATGACAGACGCGCAGACATTTGATATGTATTATTTTGACGGGTTAAGGTGTGTTCAGCGTCCTGAATTATTTTTCCAAGTGCATCTAGTGTTCTAAAATAATTTTTGGTGCATCTAGTGTCCCAAACTAATTAAAACAATGCATCCATATCCTAGGTTAACAGAAAAGTTAAGTTTGACCGTTACCTTGCTGACTCAACTAAAGGTTGACCAAAAAAATCCTACATGACGAATAAGCAGGTGTCTAATGTGTATTATTTTGATTTAAGCTCCTGAGACAAGTCTAGTGGCGACGAGTGTTTTCTTGGGAGGCGGCGACAACGATGGCGATGGAGTGAGCAAGCGGAAGTTTACTGTGTTCTACGAGGAGGAAAGCAAATGTGAGTCGGATAAAGAGTTGACTGAGACGGAGACAGAAATGCGCTGTGACGGTAGTTGCGGTTTCAAATTTGAGTGGTGGAAGAAATGGGATAAAATGTTAAAGACGAGGATGGAATTGAAAGGGTGGTACATGTATCAAGATTTAAAGGGATTTAAAAACTGGCAGATGATAAATGTTAAAAAAGGAGGAAATAAATTGAATTTTTAGTCAAAATAATACACATCAGATGCTTGTGTGTCCGTCATGTAGGATTTTGTAGGATTTTTCAGTCAACTTTAAGCTGAGTCAACAAGATAACGGTCAAACTTAACTTTTCTATTAACCTAGGATATTGACGCACCATTTTAATTAGTTTGGGATACTGGATGCACCAAAATTTACTTTAAGACACTGGGCACATCGGGAAAAATAGTTTAGGGTGCTGAGCACATCTTAACCCATAGAAAAATTGTACGGTTTATAAAAATTGTTGTTAAAACTCATATTATTATTATCAAAAAATGTTGTTATAGGTTATTATTTACAATTTTTCCAATTGGGGTTTTTTTTTGCCATTCTCCCAATATTTTTTGGGCAAAAAGAGGTGCAATTAAGGAGAAACTCAGAAATAAAACTCAATAACTAAAATACTAATACAGAACGGAATTTTTTTTTTTCGGTAATGAGAACGAATTTTTTTAAATAATTCATTTCTTAGTTAATTTAATTTATTTTAATTTATTTGCCTATTTTTATCCTACATTCTCTCATTAATATAAGAGATAGATAATCAATTTAAAAAAACAAAAAAATTAATTAAGTTGATTAATAGTAATAAATATATATTGATTTTTCTAAACCATTATATTTAATTGCGTCCATTAAAAATATTTATTGACATGAATCCTTATAGTTAATAAAAATATTTTAGATAAACATTGTAAATTTTTTAAAAAAATAGAATTGAAGTTTTATATTTTAAATCAAAATTAATTTTTCAAGTCTTAAATAGCTTTTGTATTAATAACTGAAAATAATATTATCAATAAAAATCCTAGTCCTCACGTGATGAAACAAATCAATGTTGGGAGCAGCGTTTGCCTATTAGGAAATAAACTCGCGGGCTCTGTTCTATTACTGGGCTTCGAAGTATTGGGCTTAGTAGGTGAATTCTGATCTGTCTTTACGTTCCCCCAATTCCCCAATTTAGACAGACAAAGAAAATCGACACCAAGTTTTTCCTTACATATGTTTTTTTTTTAATGGGCAAGCATTTTTGTAGATTTTTACGTAAGTATATAATACTACAATGATAACCAACTTTAAGTTAATTGAAAAGGGATTTTTAATTACGATGTGATGTTTATATTTTTTTTTAATTTTTAATACTTTATTATATATATTAAATTGGCATGATGTTTATAACCGATAATAACGGTATATCTTACGTTTCATTTCTTAGTGGCACTCTTCATGACATGTGGCACTCTTTTCACATATCTGAAATCAACAATAATGTCTAAAAAGATACACTTTTATTTTTTTGATAGTAAAAGATACATTTTTATTTGACAAACATCTTGCTAGAAAATTGTAATATTTGATAGTTCCATTTTTTTTTTTATATACTGGAAAGTAAAGACAAAAGCGATAAAGAAGCTATCAGTCGCCAGTATCTGAATGCATGATGCTGTCAACCATTTCAGGGTGCAAGAGATGGAGCCCAACGCCAAGCGCTAGAGCATTCTTTGCCAAAAAGTCTGCCAACCGGTTTTTATCCCTCGAAACATAGCAGAAGTGTACTCTCCAGTCTCGTTTCAACATTTCTTTAATCTCCATGATTAGTTGATAGTCTTCGTGTAGATCAGACGGCTCATCTTGTATGCTAGAGAGGGCCTGTTGTGAGTCGCTACAGAGAGTGATCTTTCTGAAGCCATTATCCCATGCTCTTTTCAACCCCATGAGACAACCCCAAAGTTCAGCAGTGAGTTCATCTCCCGCCGGAAGCTTTAGCTGAAAGCCTTCTACTATTTTGCCGCACCTGTCTTTAATGATTCCTCCGCAAGCTGCAGCCTGGTCTCTCCTTGAGTAGGCCCCGTCAACTTCTATGGAACTTTCACTCTCGTTCGATGGCGGAGGTTCCCTACTACCAGGAGCCCTGTTTCCCTGAAGGTTCACTCTAGAAAGCTTTTCCTGAGCATTCGTCATGCTGCCCAGAATTGCCATAGCTCGCGCCTGTACGGTGTACACACTAGGTGCCGCCTTCGTGTGTACCCAATCGTTTCGGTCACGCCAGAGGAGCCAACACGTAATAACAAATAGCCCCTTCCAGTAACAGTCCTGATTGCTTACTTTGCGTGACAAGTTAAGGTGGACCCACTCAGTTATATCGCTGTTGAAAAAGCAGTTATGGTAGGACGGCTTAACTAGCGACTCCCACATCTTCTTTATTTCCTCACAATCCCTAAGAGCATGAAGAGCATCTTCGTCAGCATGTTTGCATATGTCGCACAGACCTGTAGAGTGAAGGGTCATTCGGTGTTTCCTTTTATTCGTAATGAGACGTTCATGTAACAAGGTCCATGCAAAGGTTTTGCAACGTTGTGGTATCTTAAGCTTCCACAGATCCGTCCAACGCACCCCATTGCTAATCTGGCTTTCTTGTAACGAGCGATAAGCTGAGCGAACAGAGAAAAGGCCACTCTTCTCCCATTTCCATCTTGCTCGAATCTCACCATTACTATCATAGACCTGTTCAATACCATCGGTCACTTCCTTCCAGTTTCGTTTGATGCCATTCCATGCGTTAGAGCCTGGCTTGTTAGGGGTGATTTTTGGCAGTAGATCGTTGCCGCAGCTGTATTTCCCGTGAATGACCCTCACCCATAAGGAATGTCGATCATTTACAAGTCCCCAACCAAGCTTCATCATAAAAGCACGGTTTTGCAGCTTCATATGCCTTAATCCGAGGCCACCGACTCTCTTCTCACTGCACACCCTCTCCCACGCCACCAGATGAATCCTCCTTTTCTCATCTGATGAGCCCCACAGGAAGGCACGGGCTCTCTTTTCAATAGTGTTACACGTGTGGGGAGGAATATTAGCCGTTTGCATGGAATAGGATGGGATTGCAGAGATGACAGCCTTGACCAACGTACCCTGACCTGCGAACAATAATCGAGTGGTGTTCCATGTGCTCATTTTATTCCGAACCTTGTCAAGCACAAACTGGTAGGTCTCTGGGGTGACTCTATTGTGGTGAAGCGGGGCTCCTAGGTACTTCTCAAGATTTGCAGTGCTAGCAAAGCCTAAAGCTTGGCTCATTTGGTCGCTCCTTGCATGATTGACATTAGCGGAGAAGAACACCTTTGTTTTGCTGATGCTCACTCTTTGTCCTGAGGCCTTACAAAAGATATCTAAGCATTTTTTGATGATTCCCACTTGATCCATGTTGGCCTCTGCAAAAAGGAACAAATCATCAGCAAAAAACAGATGGGATATGGGAGGGCCATTTTTACCTAATCTTATCGGTTTCCAGTAGTTGTTGTCCACTTCTTCTTGGATGAGGTGGGCTAGTTTCTCCATACATATCACAAATAAGTAAGGGGAAATAGGATCTCCCTGTCTTAAGCCCCGCGAAGGGAGGAACTTTTCCACCTTGCTCCCTTCCCAAAGAATTTGCATGGAAGGAGAGGAGATACAAGCTCGAATAATATCTTTAAGGTAAGGTGGGAAATTGAGCTCAGTTAGGCACTCCAAAACAAAATCCCACCGAATACGATCATAGGCCTTTTCAAGGTCAATTTTGAGGGCCATGAAGCCCTTTTTCCCTTTCATATTTTTCATGGAGTGGATCACTTCTTGAGCAACAATTATGTTGTCCGCACTTGTCCTTCCTGGCACAAAGCTACATTGGTTTGGGGAGATAATCTGCGGAAGAAGACATTTAAGGCGGTTAGAAATGACTTTTGTGATCGTTTTGTAAATGACGTTACATAAGCTAATAGGGCGAAAATCACAAATATATTCTGGATACTCCCTCTTAGGTATGAGAACAATGAAGGTGTGGTTGAGGCTTTTGACCGAATCTGGCTCCGCAAAGGCTGATGTGATCGTCTTAATGATTGAAGGACCAAGGGTAGTCCATTGGCTTTGGAAGAAGAGAGCGTTCAAACCATCCGGTCCAGGTGCCTTAAGCGCACCCATACTGAAAACTGCTGACTTTATCTCCTCACTAGTGACTTCGCTAGACAAGTTTGTGATCTGAGAAGGCTCTAGTGGTGGGAAGGAGGAGCAATGCACCGTGGGTGGGGAGTCATGGTAATCATCCCTGAACAGGTTGACAAAGAAACTAGTCGCTGTGTCTTTTATCTCCTTAACATCGTCCGTCCACTCGTCTTTCTCGTTTTTTATAGCCTCAATTTTATTTCTTCGTCGCCTACCGTTAGCTCGAGCA